CCCCCCACTTTCTCTTGTGGAATTTCTTAGCGCAGGTAGGCTGGGCCTGTTGCATCATCCACTCTTCAAGCCCAATGAGCTCTTGTGTGAGGGGAAGTGTTGAGATATATATAAAGCCTTGGACAATCTTACCCTTTGAGCTAACTTTTGAAGTGATGTATCCCAAGATTCTTTACAAAGTCCATAGACCATTGACAACACGGTATATTCGGAGACCATATCCCTAAAATAAGGGCTAAGGAAAAAGCCCACCAATTCCACTGAACACATTTTTTCATCTAACTAAGCCCAAGTTGTTCGGCCTCTGACTTTTCTGTGTCCATTCCAGACTCCAGGGATTTGGCTTATAGTTACGAAAAAATAAAAATAAAAAGCGAGACGTGTTATTTATAATACTGCATGCTAATGATAAATCTATCAACTTTTTATATTAAAATTGTAAGGTCAACGGTTAAAAATGAAAAAAATTTGTTGACGTTAATTTTAAATTAATCAAATAATAATCAATCAGATAATAAGAATAACGAGACTAAAATGGTAATAAATATAATCTTCTTCAAAATAATGTGTATACACTATTTTTTTGTACATTTTATACACTACTTTTAGAGTGCACAAAGTAGTGTACAAAAACAACTTATCTTCTATATTGCGAACGTTGTTTAATATTTCTGTAGACAAAAAAAAAATTATATCACACTTACATAAAAATGAGTGAATTTTATTATATAAAAAAAAGAAAAAAATTTGTAAAACCCATTTACTTTTACATGAGTATGTAAAAAAAAATTACAACAAAAACAGAAAAAAAAATTCCATGAAAATACTATTGTTATAGTATGGAAGTTATAACTGTAATAAAATAATTAAAATAAGCGTAGACTGTGTCTAGACGTCTAGTAACCTACATATTTGTACGCCATTCTTGCATTTCTAATCCTTAAATTAAATGAAATTGCATCTGCTAGCTTAGATATTTATGTATGGCGGTTGTGATCATGTCACGCTCTAATAAATTGACTTGGCTATACTAAACTATATTAATAGTTCTAACTTCTAAGTAAGCTCTCCCAACCTATTGGGGTTAGATTATTCAAGCTCTTTGTTATTCATTTCAGCAGCTATAATAAGCATTGGGTGAAGATCATCTTACCTCGTCCCCAATAGGCAGTGTGAATGAACGATGTTCGGGTTTTTGACTGTAGTAATGCATTTTTTGAAAGGGAAAAAAATATTTCTTTTTTTTTGGAAATAGGAAAAAAATATTTCTACAGTCACTTTAGATAAGGTTATCTACAGTTATCTCTTTTTAACTAAGTATGATCGGTCATACTTAGTTATAAGAATAAAGCTGTTCTTTTTTTCTCTTTCTTCAGATACTGTCGACTGATGTGGCGAAGAGAGAAAATGCAATTTTAATGTATGACCAGTCATACTTAGTTAAAAAGGATAGCTGTAGACAATCTTATCTAAAATTGCTGCAAAAATATTTTTCCCTTTTTGAAATATTCCATTAGTTTAATTCTGTAACCAAACGTATTCTGAACTAATGCAGAAAGATGCACATTAGGTGGCTACGTATATAATTGCATACATGACACGTGTGCATATTACGTGGCAGTATTACGCGGCAGACGGACTGAAATGCATACCTGATACTGACGTGATTATATTGAACTGACACAATCAGACTTGATAGACTGAAATGCACACCTGATAACAACGTGTTTAGACGCACATCTATTCCTGACATGTTTAGACATCTACTTGATACTAACGTATTTAGATGCATATGTGCATGTCTCACTTTTATTATTACATAAACATGCATGTATCATATGTATGACTAAACACCTAACTACTTGATACACATCTTTACGTATTAGTCTGTAATATGTTTGGTCAAAAAAACTAAGGGTTTTCGTTTTATCCTTTAACATAACACAACAAACTTTTTTACACTCACAACATTTTGTAGGGCCCACACTTTTTAAAACAAAAAAATAAATAAAAAATTAAGGCACGCAAAACGAATTTCTATAACATTACACGATCACTTTTCCTACAACATAACTCTTATAAAACCCAAAAACTAAACTCGTGAAATAGTTTGAAAAACGTATTTGTCAGGCCAAAAATCCACGATGTTCTGTGACAGCTAATCTAAATCATTTGATTGTACTCATTCTTCATACTTACAAATACGATCGTTGTTTGTGTTTGGGGGTTTCCTTATTATTGTCGGACCTGTCTAATCAAGCATTTCTCCAATTTTAATGCATAACCCATAAAGTCTAAGATGCAGGGACAGTGTTTGGATACGTTACCATGAACGAGCCATATCTCTATTAGACCTACGGGTTGCATCCACACACAAAAAAAGAAAAAAAGAAAAAAAAAGATATGGATGCCTTAGAAAGTGTGGATCTTATTATAAGCATGTGGGTCAACTAGCATTTAATTGTTCTAATTAAAATATTAATCTTCAGCTCAAGTTTTGAATATCTAGTTATGTCGAGTTTTATGGTCCGATAAAAAAATTAAAAAATATACAAAAAAATAATTGTGTGGATCTTATTAGTGGCTTTTATTGAATCCTGAATGGATTAGTTCATGAATTTCTTGGTAATTATCCTAATTCAAATAAATAAAGAATTCAATATTTTTAAATTCTCAATATATTAAATCTATATAATTTTTTATTCAAATTTTTTCATAAGTATTAGAAAGATTATTAAAAAGATAGGTTATAAGAACATGAACAATATTCCGTTCTAATAATATTTCTTATTAGGCTATTTAGGCATTTTTAGAATAGTGGGCCAGTCCTCATGGGTTTGGAATATGCAATGGGACCTGGGCATCAGAAAAAAATAGTTATCGACAGAGACTGAAAGCAAGTAGTAACAACCGTGCAAATACATATGTTGGTGAGAACGAAGATAATCCAGTGCGATTGATTTGTGTTGGCTTAAGAAGGACGGGTTCTCTTAAACTATATTCTTTAAGTGTAAAGAAACTTGGGATACATCATTCTAAAAGCTAGCTTAAAGGGTGAGAGTGTCCAAAGTCACATTAGTTGCCCACACAATCAATGTGGGATTATATATCTCGACACGCTCCCTCACGCAAGAGCCCTTTTGGGCTAGAAGCGTGGTGGAATTGTACAAGCTCAATTTTTTGTTTACCTTTTTGTGCTTTTTATTTTAATTACACTTGAAAGTAGGGGTCGTGAGAATTGAACTTGTGATTATTTTAATTACACTTGAAAGTGGGGAGCTGCGAGAATCGAACTTGTGACCTTATAGTCACTCAAGTTCTGATACCATTTATAAACTCCACATTAGTTGCACATACAAACCAATGTGGAACTATACATCTCGGGTGTTTTCCAACAAATATATACTCGTTGCCACAAGAAATTGACGATCTTTTTTATTTAAACTTTAGCGGTGCTGCTGCACCACAACGTGTGCTTTTTGTTTAATTTTTTTTTTTTGGGGGGCAGTCCCCTCCCTATTTATTAAATAAAAAATATTATATGTTTTTTATATATTCAAATTATTAAATATATTTATTTTTATTTAAAACTTTCTTTGTTAAACATTATGAGAATTATTAAGAGTATTTTTTTGAGGCTATAAAGAACTACGTTAGATGTTCTGTGACACGGGCACAAGGATCACAACTTGGCCTTGGTTGAAGATTGCTCTATTTTCATTTTTCGGAAATTTGTTGCCCAGTGCCAAAGTGAATTACACTAGTAATTCCAAAACATGTTAGGTTATACGAATACATGTGATGACCAAAGGTCAATGATTGAGTAAGGTCAGTAATGAAAATTAACCAAATTATTGATCTTCCACGGTTCCACATTAACAATTTCAGGGCTTCACTGTGGTCCCCCATCTCCATGACGGGTGGAATCTCACCTCTAAAATAATATTAATAGAAACAACTCCATCGAAAAGGCAATTAAAATCTGACCACCTGCTTCGCTTTTTCGAAAAAAGAAAAAAAAAAAAAGATACGAGATAATTTGTGGGGCCTTTATATATAAACTTATGGTTTGGCAAGGAGACTACTCTCACGTCTTACCTTTATTATGAACTATGTTAAAACTTGGAATGTGATGGAACCCATCATTAACAACCCAACCACTAAAATATATAAAAGTGGGGAATCAATAACTATTTTTAAAACATAAAAATGAGAACTATTCCAGCAGGGCAACTTGGCCATTTGCCATTAGTCTATTTTCGGGTGTTTGTACTTGAGGAAGGCATAACATTTAATAAAACTCTTACGAAATAAGGATAAGTAAAATTCATTTTGCTATCCCCCAAAACTTAAGCTTGTTTTACATTTCACCCATAAAACTCGCCTTTCATAATTTTCCGTTGTAGTTGGTTCAGTTTCTACTTTCATGAGTTCACTACTGCAATTTATTACTTCAATTTTGAAATAAAATTTTTCCCTTGTCGAAAAAAATATGATAAATCGCAGGTCCTCGTAAAATTCAATTACAACAACACTTTTATTTATACTTTAGGCACGCATTGAATGCAAATCATCGATGTTTTGGCTAGCGCGTAAATCGAAGAATTAACAATTAACGAAAGGTAACGAAAACCATTTGAATTTTCAATCTGCCAGATTCGAGAGAGAGAAACGCCAAAAAGAAAAAAAAAAAAAAAATCCAAAAGATAAGAAGGAAAAACCAAAGGCCAGATGATGAATCATTGACATTCAATACATACACGGACAGCCTAGCATAGAGCTGGACAAAATGGGGAAAGTGAAAAAAATGTGATTTTTTTTTTTTTTACATAAACATTTTAAATCCAAATACCAACAACAACAGTAATAATAACCATAATAATTAAGACAGTATATCATTAAGTGTCACGAGGGTGACTCACAAATCGATTAACATAATCTCCATGTATAAAAATTAACAATCAAATATAAATTATACAAAAAAAAAAAAAAAAAAAAATTTAGCTCCTGCACCTTGTAATGGCACTGCAGCCACGACTGTAAGGGTTAGCCTGAGCTCCAGGTCGGCAATTGTAGTAAGAGGCACCACGGCGAGAACAGGGCACAGTGTTCCTCTGGAGCGCACCGTAGCTGATATACTGGGTGGTGGCTAAGATGCGCCGGTTGATCTCGCTGTCCAATTCAAACTCGTCCCTTTCTTCCATGCAGTCAGCTATGGATCCCTTGCAGGTACTTTTGTTTGATATCCATTCCATTCCCATTCCCATTCCCATTCCTCCTGCATCCACCACCGCTGTCGGCGACGAACTCATCACCAAAAGAGTGGCACAAATCATAAGGAAAAGCCACGAGTACAAGTTCGCCATTGATGTTTGAGGGTGTTGTTGAAATGAACCTTCGTTGTTGACTATGCTTCTGTTCCTTCCTTCCTCTTCTTCTTCCTTTGGGGTCCTGCAAATGAATAGAGTTATGAGTTATGACGAGACTCTATATTAGAGGCAGCATCATGTTTAAGAACCCCTTGTGTTAAAACAACGACACTCGAATACCTGTTATTTACATACATGCCATTCACCCACCATGGACTTGGACCATTTATAAAATTCAAAAAATAAAATAAAATATGATTACGTTTCATCATTTAATGATTTATTTAATATCTTGAAAATATAAACATTTAATATAATCATTTAAGACTGTCTTTTGATATAATTGTTCTTTTGCTATAAAATTTATGAAAAAAAGGATACCATCATTTGATATCGATGTCAAATTTTAAATTTTGATACTAAATTTTAACCGTTAATTTTTTTAATGAACATTTATCATTTATTAGGAATCAAACTTATTAATTAATTATTAATTCTCAATAAACGATAATCGTTGATTGGTAGTAACAACGATCGAGATTTAGTGTCAAATTTTAAATTTTGATACCGATGTCTAAGGATCATGCCCATATATAAATATATAACGAGAAAAATATATTATTTTAAGAAAAATAATAATGTTCTCCTGCTTATTTGATAATTTTTTACCTTCTATTTTTTTCGTTATACTCTCTTTGTCTCTTCTTATAATGTTATGATTGGGAGAATATAAAAAATTATTAAATATACATCAAATATATTCATTTTGCTTAAAATGGTACAAAATTATGTCTTTTAAAAATAAAGAATTTTTTCATGTTTAATATATAAGAAATTTAAAAGTAATTCAATATTTTTTTAAGTAAATAATAAAGAGTAATAAATTTTCAGACCGAGAAAAAAAAGGAAATTAATATTATTTTGTGCTTCAAAATACATGTCTTATTTTAAAATTGACTAACATGGTTTTATTTTAAAACTAAAAAAATTCATTAAAGTTTTATTTGTGTGTATAGTACTTGGCTTGATATGTGTTAAATTAAGATGTTTATAAAAATGACTGTATCTTGTGTCGTAATAATAATAGTAAAAGAACAAATAGTATACATTCCTAACAACCACTTGATAGAAAAATCACGAGAGAAAAAGTCTACCACAAAAATGTTGTTACCATTTTACAAGTTTCAGTCTACGAATTAACTTTGAAGAATGCTCTAATTAAAATTATTCGGTTAGCAGGGGGTGGTTCTTTTTTTTTCTTAGAGATTCATTGGATTTTGTTGAAGTTTTATGTATTAATGTTTTTAAATAATAAATAGAAAAATAACATATAGTTGTTTCATAATTATTAACCATTGAATTTTGTATCCATCATAATCTTCTTGTGATTTCTAAATGGACTAAAAGAGCATTCTTAATTAAAAATAAAGTAACAAAGAATATTTAATGGACAATACCCTTTATATAATATTTGATTAAATAGATAACAAAAGCAAAAGTGGGAGGAAGCCAAAGAATAGACGTGTGGAGCATTAGTAAATATTCTTTGTATTTATGTACCCAATATATATATTATATGAAGTAGGATCATTTGACACCGGTGTCAAATTTGAAGTTTGACACCTCATTTGGGAGCTGTTAGATCAAAAAAGATCAATGGTATCACATGCTTACAAATCAGAGTCGTTGATCTTTTTTTATCGAACGACTCTCAGATGAGGTGTCAAATTTCAATTTTGACACCGTTATCAAAGGATCCTACCTCATATTATATATATAGTCTTTGTATTTTTTTGGGCTGAGCATTATAAGTAAGTATTGCTTCTTCTTTTTTGTTATTTTGTTGCGTTTATAAAATAGAGAAAGATTCTTGAATTCTACCAAGTTGACAATGTCTTCCTAGCTATTTTCCACTCACATATAGTAGTTAAGCACAACATTGAAAACGGCTATTTCTAACACCACCAGCCATGTTGTATGATGTATGTACGAGTTTTATATTCACCTGCCACTCACAGTTCCAAATTTCAAATGGGATAATTAAATATCCTCGTTTTCTTATGATTTTAAATTGTATATTTTTAATGAATAACAGGCAATGTTTTCTCTTATTAGCAAGGAAATATTCAAAACTTGCGCCCAATAATTCAATGATGGAAAACAGCTAAGTTTCACATACAAAGGATTCAGAAAAAGTCAGAAAACGAAGAAGATAATAACTAATTACTGATTGAATAATACATGGATAGCTTTGAAGAGATGATAGGAACAGAGTCAAGTAAAAAAAATTAGAGTAAATACTTTTTTTTAGTACCTCGCAATATTCATAAAGTTATTTTCAGTCTCTAGCAATAAAAAATGGATAAATTGGTCCTTGAAATAACAAAAAAGAGATCACGTTCATCCTTCTGTTAACTCTCACCTAACGGTGCACAATTGGCACGTTAGTTTGCTGACGCAGCTTGGATGTGAGACACCGTGAAAGATGAGACGACGACGTTTTGGTCCCTGTAAAAATGCACAAGGACGTTTTTAGTCCCTGACAAAAAGCACAGGGTCCTTATTGGTCCCTAACTAGAGAAAAATAGGCACATGACTTCATTGCTTTTCTATGCAGTCCAATTTTGCAAAACAGAAGTGCATTACATCAGAAACAGGAGTGCAATCCAATTTTGCAAAACAGAAGACATGGATGTACAAGAACTACAACTACGTATATTAGTTAAAAAACATCAAAAATGGTAAACTTAAATATTCATCAACCCTGTGAAACATAATAGATGGAACATGATTTGAGTATCATTATATTTGAAGACATGGATGTACAGTAGTGCATTACAAAATAAAGCCAACTGTCAGGAATTAAAAGAAAGGCCTCTAATACAATATGTCCAGAATTTACAAAAAAAACATTGACATAATAAGGCCTCCAAATACATAATGGCTAGAATTTTCAAAAAAAGTCAGTCACATAATAATAAACCCTTCTCGGTTGGCTCATGCACTACTCCCAGGTCATATATAGCAGCAGGTCATTTTCTTGAGGCAGGCCTTGGTGGCCTAAAACCAAGTGTGCTCATGAAGGCCAATAATCTGCTTCGTGTGCCACCGGATGCTGCATTCATTGTTTCATTACTCAACAACCCATTTTCCTGTTGTGGATTTGATGGAGGTGGGCTGCTTCCTCTCAAGTTGCCTTCATGTGGCTGAGAACTACCAACTGCTGTAGTCCAGTCAACTGTCATGCATTGCAATTATCATTATCATTTACCTGGCTTCTTCTCTGATTTTTCTCTGTATTTAAATATCAACAATCATGCAATTATCTTTTATAGAAAAATAAATAGTATAATTGTAATGCTACACTACTGAAGATATTATTCGTAAATCGCATAACACTATGTCTTATATAGACTAAGAGAGTTAAAGCAGTTCATAGTGTGCTAGGGATCGTAAAAGCTGTTTGCAAGAGCCAAGAATCCCTTTTAACAAAGTGGGAATCTTAATTAGCATTGAAAAAGAAATGAATAATCGTTAATAAGATCGAAACTTCAGTTAGAAACACAAACTTCATTGAAAAAAAATGCCAAGAAGGAGTATTTTACTTTGTGATAAAATTTAGTTTAATTACTTTGTGATGAACAAATGGATTGCACTCCTGTTTCTGATGTAATGCACTTCTGTTTTGCAAAATTGGACTGCATAGAAAAGCAATGAAGTCATGTGCCTATTTTTCTCTGGTTAGGGACCAATAAGGGCCCCGTGCTTTTTGTCAGGGACTAAAAACGTCCTCGTGCATTTTGACAAGGACCAAAATGGCCCTCGTGGTTTTGACAGGAACCAAAACGTCGTCGTCTCGTCTTCCACGGTGTCCCACATCCAAGCCGCGTTAGCAAACTAACGTGCCAATTGTCCACCGTTAGGTGGGAGTTAACGGAAGGATTAATGTGGCCTCTTTTTTTGTTATTTCAGGGACCAATTTGTCCTTTTTTTATTGCTAAGGGCTGAAAAGGGCTTCGTGGATATTTCCAGAGTCTAAAAAAGGTATTTACTCAAAAAAATTATTAGTTATTTACTATTAACTCATGTTCTCATATCTGCAATTTCTCGATTATGATTTTTGACTAATCTAAATTTGAGGGTGTGCAATTAATTAAACTAGTTAAACTTCTTTGGTAAATTGTAATGGATGTTGATTCATACTAAAAGAAATTATTCTTTCTTTTATCATCTCAAGCTTGAATTTATTAAAAAATTATGAAGTTAAAATTTTATGATATCGCGCATTTAAAAAATATATATACCCAAAACATTCAGGGAAAATATAATAATGCTAATAAAATAATTCATCCAATCTTTACTGTATTTCCAAAACATATTTTATTGCACGTAAACAAAGTACAACTCGGGCCTAACTAATCATCTTCGCCACTTTGTCTCTTTGGATAAAAGGTGTTAACAACAGCGGGTAGGGAAAATAATACCACTTAGACTCTCGTTAAAAAAAAATGCGGTGTTGAAAATTGACAATCACACAAAATACAAATAAAAAGAGAAAGAGAGAGAACAAACACAGAGATTATTTATCCTGATTCATCTAATTTAGACTACGTCCAACTTGTCTGTATTGTATTCACCTCACCGTCCCTCGTTACAAGTCACTTAATTTATAAAAAAAATATAAATAGAATTACAAAACCCCAGCAGTTGCCTTTCTGCTGACCCCAACAACTAGGGCTCTCATCAGTATGCGAAGCCATACCCAACAGGGGAGGAGGCTGGACCAACATCGACACGAGACACGTTAATTTTAAAAAAGGCCATATTTCGACACGTTAGGACGCGTTTTGATATTAAGTAATATTTTTAATATATACAATATAATTTATATTTAATATATATAACAGTCCATAATAAATCATATAATCAATCAAATATTCAAATTTCATAACATAAATATAAAGCAAAAGTAATTTTTCATATCTTGTTAATTTTTT